CGCCTTCATGACATGGTGGCGGCAACAACAATACTTCAGAGAGAATAAAAGTTACACCTTCTTACTTTACGTGAACATTTGGGCGGCGTTATGCAAATCTTCCCACATAGTGATGTAGATATGTGGGGGCGTGTTAGAACGAGCCGTTTTAGGTAGGCGTGGATGACTCTTAACTTTTAGAAAGAATATCTCTTTGGATTTGAGACTTTAGTCTTTGCAACTTTACAGATCTTCTTTATGCACCAAGAGCTTGTAACACTCCAAAGAGAAAGGAAAAATTTAAATCGCATCATATAACCCCTTTAATACTCGGTTGGCAATGTCTAAATTATTGCAATAAAGAAGAGTTTATTTCATTAAAGCAGCAAAGAAAGTGCTATTTTTTGTTTCTTTATTATTACAGAACACAGAACAACATAAAAAGGTTACAAACACACTAATAACAAAAAAACAAAAACAATAACAAAACAACTAATAGCGAAAACAAATTAATAAAGATACAATCAAAATATTCTGTTGAAAAAAAGAAAAGAAAGGCATCAAGTTTGAATTTTACAGATGCTATAAGTTTTTCCATAGCCTATTGCAATGTGTTATTATTTAGTAGAATGAACGAAAGGTTTATTAAGAGTTTTTGCTATTTTTATTTCAACATTCAAAATGCAGATTATCTGGGTTCATGTATATATGTTTCAAAGCTTCTATTAAGGTCAAATACATTATAATATGTAAAATTACATTACAATACATGTGTCATACTTATATATAGTAATATAATAATGTAATAATAATATAATTATAAGAATATAGTGATGATAATATTAGTGTTATAATTCAAATGTTTTGAATTTAAATATTTAAGTAAATGTAAGCAGTTCAAGGAAAATAGTTTCATTCTTTAAATAATTATATGACTTGAATATATGAATCTAGACTATTATAAACAAAAGGTAGGTAATGTGTATTATTTTTTACACCAATAGTGAATAACTTATAGTATAGTAGACTACTTAAATCAAATCCATGGGCTATAAATATCAGTTGTCACTCTGCGTCTCCCAATAACATGTCTCAGTAAGATGATATTTCAATATTTAGTTTTATTATCAATGTACTGTAGTTTTTATTGTTGGGGGCAACAAATTCCTGATGTATCGTGTTTAATACGTACATTTTAACATGATTATTTTTTAAATACTGACAGTCAAATAAAACCTAAGTACATCAGATGAGTAAGCACATCTTGAAAAATTACTAACAAAATAACAGTTACGCTTGCTATTACTTTATAAAAATCAGTAAAGATTTCACAGCAAAAAGACACTGGAATGTTGACATTTTTAGGATGATACTAAAAGGTATTTTTTACGTGCTAAAAACCACAGAAGGTATGTAGTTTATTGTGTACAGCAGGTTTTTCAGCAAGGTTTTGATCTTGTTGATAATTCAGATGTCTGAGAAATGTGATATCACATTTCTTAGGCACAATTTACTACATGCCTTCTGTCATATGTAGTGTATACAGTGGTGTGAAAAAGTGTTGGCCCCCCTTCCTGATTTCTTGTTTTTTTGCATGTTTGTCACACTTTAATGTTTCAGATCATCAAACAAATTTAAATATTAGTAAAAGATAACACAAGTGAACACAACATGCATTTTTTAAATGAAGGTTTTTATTATTAAGGGAAAACAAAATCTAAAACTACATGGCCCTGTGTGAAAAAGTGTTTGTCCCCTAAACCTAATAACTGGTTGGGCCACCCTTAGCAGCAACAACTGCAATCAAGCGTTTGCGATAACTTGCAATGAGTCTGTTACAGCGCTGTGGAGGAATTTTGGTCCACTCATCTATGCAGAATTTTTGTACTTCAGCCACATTGGAGGGTTTTCGAGCATGAATTCCTTTTTAAGGTCATGCCACAGCATCTCAATAGGATTCAGGTAAGGACTTTGACTTGGCCACTCCAAAGTCTTCATTTTGTTTTTCTTCAGCCATTCAGAGGTGGACTTGCTGGTGTGTTTTGGATCATTGTCCTGCTGCAGAACCCAAGTTCTCTTCAGCTTGAGGTCACGAACAGATGGTCGGACATTCTCCTTCAGGATTTTTTTGGTAAACAGCAGAATTCATGGTTCATGGTTCCATTTATCACAGCAAGTCTTCCAGGTCCTGAAGCAGCGAAACAGCCCCAGACCATCACACTACCACCACCATATTTTACTGTTGGTTTGATGTTCTTTTTCTGAAATGCAGTGTTATTTTTTCGCCAGACGTAATGGGACACACATCTTCCAAAAAGTTCAACTTTTGTCTCGTCAGTCCACAGAGTATTTTCCCAAAAGTCTTGGGGATCATCAAGATGTTTTCTGGCAAAACTGAGATGAGCCTTTATGTTCTTTTTGCTCAGCAGCGGTTTTCGTCTTGGCACTCTGCCATGCAGACCATTTTTGCCTTTTTGCATTCTTAACTGAGGCAAGTGAGGCCTGCAGTTCTTTGGATGTTGTTGTGGGGTCTTTTGTGAGCTCTTGGATGAGTCGTCGCTGTGCTCTTGGGGTAGTTTTGGTCGGCCGGCCACTCCTGGGAAGGTTCTCCACTGTTCCATGTTTTTGCCATTTGTGAATAATGGCTCTCACTGTGGTTCGCTGGAGTCCCAAAGCTTTAGAAATGGCTTTATAACCTTTTCCAGACTGATAGATCTCAATTACTTTCTTTCTCATTTGTTTCTGAATTTCTTTGGATCTCGGCATGATGTCTAGCTTTTGAGGATCTTTTGGTCTACTTCACTTCGTCAGGCAGGTCCTATTTAAGAGATTTCTTGATTGCGAACAGGTGTGGCAGTAATCAGGCGTGGGTGTGGCTAGAGAAATTGAACTCAGGTGTGATAAACCACAGTTTTAACAGGGGGGCAAACACTTCTTCACACAGGGCCATGTAGTTTTGGATTTTGTAACAATAAAAACCTTCATTTAAAAACTGGATGTTGTGTTTACTTGTTATCTTTGACTAATATTTAAATTTGTTTGATGATCTGAAACATTAAAGTGTGACAAACATGCAAAAAAATAAGAAATCAGGAAGGGGGCCAACACTTTTTCACACCACTGTACAT